CAGGACCTCTGGAAGAGCAGTCAGTGCTGAGCTATATCTTCAGCCCCAGCATGAATATCTTTATAGTTTGATCTAGCTACCTTTCTGATTTCATAATTAATATTTTAAATTATGTGTATATGCCTGTGACTGTAGGGATACATTCATACGAATGCAGAAGCCTTCTCAACTGTAAGATTCTCTAGAGCTGGAGTCAAGGGTAGTTGTGACCCAATTGAGCGTGGTGTTAAGAGCCATACTTGGCCCTCTGCAGGAGAAGACCCTCTTTACTATGAGCCATCTCACCAGTCCCAGTGTTAGCTGAAAGTGGAGGGAAATGTCTGACTTACATGGGTAAGCAGGGTTGACACAGGGCTATGGGACAGAAGGAGAGCATTTGGAGGGAATTTCAGGAATCTGGTCATGAGTAGGGCCCTAATATAAAGTGGTGGGTTTGAGGAGCAATGGAGAGATTCAGTGAGTACCTAGTAGTGCAGGGGACCAGTGGGGTCTGGCTTTGGTGAAAATAACTTGAAGCAGTTGAACTATTTCAGTGAGGGCAGAGGCAAGAAGGAACAGAGGCTCAGCTGAGGTGGCATTGGGCAGTGAGTCATCCCCATTTTTCCCACAAATGAAGTCTTTGGTAAGGAACTGGGAATTCTGGTCTCATACCTGAGTCCTGGCATCACACAGAACTCCCTGAAAGAGATGAGTAACTTTCATAGGATGCCAAAGTTGACCCTAAAATGTAGTGACTCAGGAAAACTGCAAAGGTTGAGTTAACAAAGCAAAATCCCATCATCCTTGAGAAGGCTCAGGGCATCAAAGTGCTTGGCCAACCTGACAGCTGACATTGATCCTGGAGTTCTCAGATGGGTGGAAGGAGAGAAACAAGTTCTGATAATTATCTCCCCTTCACATGAGTCTCATAGCCTGCACACATTCACAGACAGCAGTAGTTAGTTTATTATAAGAGTAAGAAATCACACTGGGTTACATCCACTTCAAATGTTAAACACAGTGGTTTATTTTGTGGGAGCCAATGGACTAGTGTCAGGAAATTGAACGCTAAGGATTTGTGGTTATTTAATGCCTCAGTTCCTCAGCTTTCATCTTCATAATTTTCTTAATTCTGGTACCTTCTGCCCTTCACCGTTCTTCTTTATATTTTTCTACTTTTATAGCCCAGGCTATCTCATCATCACCAATCCTCCTGCCTCAGCCCCTTCAGGGATTACAGAAGTATGCACCAAGTCTGGCTCACATGTTGCTTTTTTCCTTTATTGATTGGGTCTTACTCTATAGCTTTATGTAGCTTGATACTTACTATGAAGACCTGGTTGCCCTTAAACTATTTCAATCCTTCTGCCTCTGCAGATAGGACCCATCACTCCTGACTCTCACATGTCAATTTTTAAGAGATTGCCTCCTATCTTCTTACCTTGCTAACCCTGAATGAGGGAGTCATCTCTCCTCACACCCTTAAGTTTCCATTTGTTAATCTCTTCTATCCACACTTAAATTGCCTCAAAGGAATATATAACCTATAGTTGGGTGCCATCCGGCACTGTAGTCATGTGAAATAACTTAATAATTAAAATCAAATTAGATGGAAAAATAAAATAAATTCTACTCAACTGGAAGCTGTATGGATGACTCAGCAGTGAAGAGCTCCTGGAGAGGCTGTGTGTTCAGTTCCCAGCATCCACCTGGGGTGTCTCAGAACTTCCTGTAATGCTGGTTCTAAGGAATCTGATGTCTTGGGCTCAGCAGGCACCTGCACTCAAGTACGCATAGCCACACATAGAAATATATAACTTAAGAAATAATAAAAGCAAATCTTTAAATTTTTTTTCAATCCAGCAGGGTTTGAGGGCACAAAGTTTTAATCCCAGTGCTAAGGAAGCAGAGGCAGTACATCTCTGTGAGTATGAGGCCAGCCTGTTCTACAGAATGAGTTCCAGGACAGGCAGAGCTACATATAGAGTTGCTGTTTCAAAAACTTTTTTACTCGTATTAGCCACCTTTCCAGTGTTAGATAAGTCCCTGGTGGCTACAATACTGCACAGAGCTCATCCATAATGACACTCTCATCAGAGATAGTTCTATTGTTAACTGGACATGGTGGCCAACACCATCCGCTCAGCTTTCAGGAGATGAAAGAAGACTGTTCTGAGTGGTTTTCTTTTTGTTTGTTTGTTTTGTTTTGTTGTTTTCGAGACAGGGTTTCTCTGTGTAGCTTTGGAGCCTATCCTGGCACTCATTCTGTAGCCCAGGCTGGCCTCAAATTCACAAAGATCCACCTGCCTCTGCCTCCCAAGTGCTGAGATTAAAGGCATGTGCCACCAACACCTGGCTGTCCTGAGTTTTAACTGGAACTTTCAGTCAGTTTCAGGCAAGACATACATTTACATACATGCATAGCATGTATGTACACACACATATGCCTGTACATACACACACACAGAGAGAGAGGGGGGGGAGGGAGAGAGAGAGAGAGAGAGAGAGAGAGAGAGAGAGAGAATGAAAAAGGGAGGAACCCCTGCTTTTAAAAAGTGTGGGGGTTCTAGAGTATAGTATACCTCAACTGGGGCCTCTCTAATCTTGTGAGTGCTTATTTGGTTTTTTATTAATAAACTCTTACTAGTGCTTCTAAATCAAAGAGATATAGCAACAAAAGTTCTTAGTGGCACTGGACTGGAGAGAAGATGCAGAGACCAGGTGATCACACCCACAATGTTGGATGTTAACTAAGATCTGGGACAGGGGCTGGATGGCTGTTTAGACTACAGATGATCCAGGGGAAATGTCCCAGACTTCTAAGCAGGGATAAGTAAGAAAGAAGAAAAAGGGAAAACTGTGGGGTTGAGGAAGAGCCAAGACAGAACACCACCTGGACAAGGACCTTAGGAGATGAATTGGAAAGAAAGCCCAGGTGGCTATGGGATAAGAGGCCTTTAAAGAAAATCTGAGCCCTGGGCAGTGTCTGGATAACTGGGGTATTTGCAAAATCTCTGGGTAATGAATTGGATTCCCTACTCCTTGAGTGAGCTGAGGTAGGGTTGTCAGTGGGTCATGACATGGTCTGATTACACATTTACTGTCTGTCTCATTGTTTGTGAATTTATCTGTTGGTTGGTCACTTTCCCCTGTAAGTTGCTTGCACAACTCTAGATTTTTTACATCCCTATTGTACTGAATCACAGTCCCCCATCCTTAGTTTATTAATGATCACTGCATTGAAATAAACATCTTTTCAAAAATCCTTCTTATGGACATTGGGATTTGGCCTGGTCAGATGTTACAGTAAAACTAGTACTAAAACATTTTGCTTTTCAAATGAAGGAGGCATGTTTTAATTCTGTGTAAATCACTTTAACATTTGTTCTCCTAACTTTTGACAGTGTAAAATGTAGCCTTTGAGGCCATGAGATGCCCCATTAGATAAAGAATTGGCATTACAGAAGGACAAAACTTCTACATAGCTTTGACCATGTGTGTCCCCTGGCATGTACATCAATGCATATACCATGGATCCTGGTGGGAACATTAGGCAGTTGGGACACAGCAGAACACAGAATAATCTTCTGTTGATTTCTGATGTTCTATAATTCTTAGCTGTAGGGTTAGGAAAGCCATCTATGTGAAAATGTAATGATGTGTTCCAGAAGTTGTTCCTGATCATCACAAGGATGTTAGCTGAGATTCAAAGGTTCATAGTAAATGGTACTGAGGGAATGAAGAGAATATATGCTATTTGTGGTTCCTGAACTTCAACTTTCCATCCCTCCTCAGTCTTCCTGCAGCATCACCACTGGTGTGGATGCTACCAGGAACTACAGCTTAATATTAGTAGTTGTTATGGACTCTAGTGTTCTTCTCAATCATGTAAAGACAGAAAACAAAAGATCTCAAGCACTAATAAGGTGCTTACTCCATGGTAGATCTCACCTAGTTCCTCAGTGAATTCCAGGATATGGAGAAGGTGTCTTTTGGGAACCTGGGAAACTCTTGATTGTCACCGTCTGTTCCCTTCATTTTATGAGTGAGTAGACCATAGGACACCCTGTGAGATGGCTCTGTGACAGTGAGAATGTACATACCCAACTGTGTGAGGCAGTGAATGCCCAAATATCTGACCCTTCCTCAGTGGAACTTGAAAGGGACAGAATCGTTGGTACCATGTTAAAAAGTAAGTAGTTGTGTCTCATATTGGTTCTGAAGTTGTCTTGTAATAAATAAGACTGGTAACATGGTACACTGTCCTTTCTGAGAGGAAGTCATGGAATCTTCTGACCAGAAGTGGAGTTAATGAAGTACTGGGCAGGTTTACTCATGTTTTCATAGTTTACCAATTAAGAAACGAAAATTGAAATACAGATTCTGAAGACACACACCTTCCACCATAAATGGCTTAAAAGTAGCTGCCTTGGGCATTCCATGAGGGTTCAGTGCCTGTGAGTAAATAGTTTATTGCCTCCTTCACAGCAGATTCCCCATAAGCAGAGCAAACATTAGTGCTATTTTACATAGGAGGAAACCCAGGTGTGGGGATCTCAGAAATTGAAAGTTATTCATCTGTAGCTGGTGCTTTTTTTTTGGGTGTCTGTAAACATACCCCAGGAAGATGTGGTCTCAGACACTGTTGGCAGCAGCATTCTGGTTCAGGCCATCTTGCTAGTGATTAAGATGGTTGAGATTCAGGGACTGACCACTGTATCTACTGGGCAGAAATATCTCAGTCTTCCCTGGGAGGCAAGTGCATCTTTGCCATTGGAAGACTGGTGTTTGCTTAGAATTCTACCAAGAGAACACACTCTTGTCTCTGCCTTCAGTTTTCTCTGTTTGCTGCTTTACTTATGTCAAGACTAGAAGTGAGACTGATGGCTGTCTGTGAGGAAGGGACAGTGTTTGGGAGGACATGGATCCCTGGTAGAGAGGTCTGTGTGATTCATAGTCAGAATGAAGACTTGTCCTGTACAGTGTGCTGAGTGCCACAGCCAACCAGAGTGTCTTCTCCTTGTCCTTCAGGTCAACACCATGATGCTTCCTCAAATCTTCATTTCAGGCCTCATACTACTTCTCCCAGGTAAGTGAGTTGATGAGCTGGGGGATGTTGAGGAGGCTAGAGGTGGCAGAAGTGATGACAGTATTTGGGCCTTTTTGGTTATGGGTTATGTAGTGAGCAGAGAACCAGGACAAATTATAGTTCCAAAGAAAATTAACCTGTATGAATTTCAAAACATATGGCTAAATAAACATGATCCCTAGAACATGTCAGGCAAGAGGCGAGAACACATGCATTCATGTGATGGTCATGTATGTGCTGAGTGCACATGCATGCTTATGATAGTCAGTGGTTAATAAAATAAAATCAGAAGCAGAGCTTTCCATGCAGCATGTGTAGTTAAAGTCAGCCTTCCTTCCATTTCTTTGCGCATTTTTGATATTTAAGCCATTTTCAATTATTTATCTATTTTTTTTAATGTCACCAACTTATAAGAATGACCTTTATGTAGTGGTTTTTGTTTGTTTGGTTTGGGGTTTTGATTTTTGTTCATAAAGGGATACTTTAAAATTCAGAATAAGCCTTGGTCCCTCCTAATGGTTTTCTAAAACCCTTTCTGGTTTTTTTTTTTTTTTTTTTTTTTTTTTTTTTTGTTTGTTTTCATTTGGTTTGTTTTGGTTTTGGTTTTCAAGATAGGGTTTCTCTATAGCTTTGGAGTCTGTCCTAGAACTTGCTCTGTTGACCAGACTGGCTTCAAACTCACAGAGATCCTCCTGCCTCTGCCTCCTAAAACCCTTTCTGAAAATTGACTTTGAAGATACTAAAGTTCTACCTTGAAGCCAACAGTGCTATTCCGAAGCCCTGGCTCTGTTCTGATTAGGAGAGGTGGGAAGAGTTAGTGATTTTGTTGTCAAATCACTGTGGGGGAGGAAGAGGGATGGTTTGAGACAGGGTCTCCAAATCCTAGGCCTCTCTTGAACCCATTACTAAGCTGAAGCTGGCTTTGAATTTCTCATCTTCCTCCCTCTACCTCTCCAGTTCTGGGTATACAGTGACTTCTGGATATAGAAGTTGAGTTCTGGGTATAGAAGTTGAGTTTTGGATTCACAAGAGAGTTCTGGCTTTACTAGTGAGTTTTGGGTTTACAAGTGAGTTCTGGGGATACAATTGGGTTCTGGGTTTACAAGTGTTACCCATGGGCCAGGCTTCTGAAATAAAGTTGTAATTTTTAAAATGAAACAATTGAGCTGGTCTCAGTGGCACAAGCTAATTGCCCAGCTCTCAGGAGGCAGAGATGGGAGGATTGTGATTTTTCAGCGAGTTTGAAGCCTATAGTCATACCCTGTCACCAAAAGAAACACACACACTGAGATTGAACTTGGCAGGAAGCCCCATGGCGGGTGAGGGACAAACTATGAGGTCATACAGACCCAGCTTACAGGGAGTTTTATTGGGGAAACAGAAAGGAGTTGGGAAGAGGAGGGAAACAAGGAGAAAGAGAAAGAGAGAAAGATAAGGAGGGAAAGAGAGAGACAGAGAGGAAGAGAGAGGGAGGGAGAAGAAGAGACAGACAGACAGAGAGGGAAGGGGGAAAGACCTGTTTGCTTTTTCAGAGGAACAGAGAAGGGAGAGTAGGAGTGGGTGGAACTTGTCTCTTAAAGGGACCTTTTGCTCCCACTTACAGAGCCAGAGTACTGCTTGCTTGCTTGCTGCCCCCCAAGGGGCTGGGCCAAGGTGTGCCTGCATGCTAACACACACTGAAGGAGAAAAAAGAATTGAAAAGCATGTGTAAATATCCTACCACAGAATAATTTGTTTTGTTCACAATGTATCCATTAAGTGATCACACTGTGGAAGGAAGAATATGCTAACAGAAAGATGTTTCCAGTCTTCAAATTCAAGCTGTAAAACTGGACATGTAATCATAGGATTGGGGAGGAAGGGGCAGCGGAGTTCTGCAAGTTTATGCAGCAAGCTCCATGACAGCCAGGGCTACAAAGTGAGCCCCAGGCACAGAAAACCAAACATCAAGTTGTCATTCCGGTTTATGACTACCAACAACAAAAGAGTCAAAATCAAAACAATAAAACAAACTGTGTTTCCACTTGAGTCCTCCCTTCCCCATATTTTTTCCTAAAAACAACAACAAAACTTGAGGGAAATGTTGGGTACTAATTTCCCATTTTCCCCCTCCCTACTTTCTTATGTCACAGGTGCTGTAGATTCTTACAGAGTAGTGAAGGGGGTGCTAGGTCACCCTGTCACACTGCCATGTACCTACTCGACACTTCAAGGAGTCTTGAGGACATGCTGGGGCCGAGGGGAATGCCCATCTTTTAATTGTATAAACACACTTATGCGGACCAATGGACACAGTGTCACCTATCAGAGGAGCAGCAGATACCAGCTAAAGGGGAATGTTTCTGGAGGAAATGTGTCCTTGACAATAGAGAATGTTGTCCAGAGTGACAGTGGTCTGTACTGTTGTCGGGTGGAGATCCCTGGATGGTTCAATGATCTCAAAGTGACCTTTTCATTGGAAGTTAAACCAGGTGAGTGTGCCTTCTTTCTTGCAAGTGAACTGAGTCCTCTGCTAGTTATTTGTTCTTTTCCTAGAAGTAGGAAACAGAAAGTACTTTTGTTTGTTTGTTTGTTGTTATTGTTATTGTTGCTCTCCCCTTCACCACCCCCCCACAGGGTTTCTCTGTGTAGCTTTGGAGCCTGCCCTGGAACTCAATTGTAGACCAGGCTGCCAGGCTGGCCTTGAACTTACAGATCAGCCTCTGCCTCCCAGGTGTTGGGATCAAAGTCCTGCACCACCACTTTCCCAGCACTGCCCGCCTGTCCCATTACTGCCTCAGTAGAAAGTTCTTATAAACATGTCTGTTTGGACACTTGCTTTGAGTTGTTTAAAGATATAATGCTGTGTGTCTCAGGCTGTCCTCTGGGAGCCATTCTCTCCTGATCCTCCTGCCACTAACTCCAGTGTTGAGAATACAGGCATGTATTTTAAACCAAACCAAACCAAACCAAGCCAAACCAAACCAAACCAAACCAAACCAAACCCAGACTTAAATAGTCTCCTTTGAGGCACAGAACAACTTTACTTGCTTAGATGAAGACCTAAAATGAATCTTAATTCAAGACTATCAGGATTCATGTCTGAACTGTATTTGGGACAGTCTTGTTGGTCCACGAAACTGCATCCACTCTTCATCCTGAAACACAGTGGGGATTTAAGCTGTGAATTCGTGACTTTTAAGAACTGCCTCTTTTCTGTGATTGTACCTTAGAAAGTTAACCACCCGTCCCCAACACTGTGAAGTCACTACAGCTCTAACCTGAAAAGCAGACAATGCACGGTGCTACTGAGCTGATGAGCTGGCTTCATCAGTGGTCAGCTGACCTTGCTGAGCACAGGCACATCTGTAGAGGTGGCGAGTTCTACTCCATGTCTGCCCTGCCCTGGACCTTTGATATGGGTCTCACAACATATCACACAATTGTTGCTTGAACAATGGAAATGTCCTGATAGAAGAGTGTTCCTTCCCACCTGTCCACAAGTCACTGTGCTGTACAGTGTGATCACACAAGCAGTTAGTCCACTGTCACTGTGCAGTGTGATCACATGAGGAGCAGTGGTTAGTACACAATCACTGTGCAGTGTGATCACACGAGCAGCAGTGGTTAGTCCATAGAAGGTGCTGACATAAAATTCCCTCCCACGAGCTTCATTAGAATGAGGAGGCCTCAAGCGAGAATGGAGAGCATTAGACACACACAATACAATCTATGAGGTTCATTCCTTGATGGGGTATGAAGAGGCTTCAAGGGAAGGAGGGCCTTCTCTTTATAACCTGGAGAGATTTTTGAAGAACAGGAATCTGTGTGTGTATGTGTGTGTGTGTGTGTGTGTGTGTGTGTGTGTGAGAGAGAGAGAGAGAGAGAGAGAGAGAGTGAGGGAGGGAGGACTAGAGCTAGAGAGGACTAGAGAGAGATAAGGAGGACTAAAGAGAGATAGTGAGGACTAGACATGACTGGAATGGCAGGGCAGACAGAGGACAGCAGCCTGCACTATAATCTTCTCAACCTCACCCCTCCCTGAGGAGTCTCAGGCTGGTCCCCAGAGCAAAGGAAAATACTGACTTGTTAGAATCTTTTAGTTCTGGAGGTCCTAGGTGCTAGGTCTCAGGAGGAAAGCAAGCTAAAGTGCTTGTTAACATATGAAAGTAGACCCTGGTTGCCAGTGCTCAGCAAGGCCAGTACCGGGCACACCACACCCTTCCTAAATTCTCCAGCCCAGGGACTGGGCTGGGCTGCACCTTCCCCAGCTGCTCTTTCCTATATAACCCAGCCATTTTGGCTATACTGGTCCTTTGCCTATTGGGCTCATGGCCTCTTGGCCACCACTCTTGGCTCCTGGCTTTGCCCTCTCTCAGGGCCAGTTCAGTTTGCTGGTCGTGTTCACTCTGAACTCTTCTAGATGCCTCTGTCTGTTTTCTCCCAGATATCTACAATAAATTATCTCCCCCACCATGGGGAGGAGTATCATGTTCTCCTTTTATTTCTTTTTTTTTCCTTCAGGAGGGAAGTTTTCCTTTTGCAAGATTTAGTTCACCTTAGCATAAGTGACAGCGTATGGAGCAGCCAGATCTTGCTTAGGTTTATAAATCGGGGGCTGCAGTTGGGGCACCTAACAGACATTTTCCTAACTGTCTTACGGAGCAGCTGAGAGGTGAGGCTTGATCTATTCAGACTGTGGGATCAGGTTCAAGCCCATATTCTAACAGTAAGAAGTTCATGAAAACCCAAAATCTGGACTCACTACATTTTCTTTGTTTCCTTCCTTCCTTCCTTTCTTTTCTGTAGCCCTGGCTGTTCTGGAACTTGCTCTTTAGACCAGGCTGGCCTTGAAGTGATGGTGTTCCACCTGCCTCTATCCCCTGAATACTGAGGATACAGGATCATTCAACAACCACCAGGTTTTACATTTTCCTTCTTGAGGTAGATATCCTGATCTCCTTGCTTTGACTAGAAGGGTAGGCTCATGAGGACTGCCTGGGGGTGCTGTTTCTAATCTCTTTTTCCTTAAGGGTTTACATGGACAATAGAAATTTACAGTAACAGCCTTAAGGTGGTGGTACATGCTTTTAATTCCAGCACTTGGGAGGCAGAGGCAGGAGGAGATCTGTGAGTTTGAGGCCAGCCTGATTTACAGAGTGAGTTCCAGGACAGGCTTCAATCTACACAGAGAAAGATTGTCTTGAAAAAAACCAAAAAGAAAAAGAGATCAATAGAAATAATAATCTATCTTTTTAAAATTAAGAACATTATTCTTTGTCTCCCAACTTAAAGACTTTGATATTCATTCATCCATTCTTCATTCATTTTTATGTTTAATCGGATTTTTAAAACATTATTATTTTGTGGCTATGTGTGAATGATATATGTGTGTTGGGTTTGCATATCATGATGAATGTATCAGAGGGCAAACATGCGGGGGTAGTACTTTCTTTATGTCATTTTGTGAGTTCTAGGAGCTTAAGTCAGCTGTCCAGTCTTGAAAGTCAAGTGACTACCTGTTGAAACATTGTTCTGGCTCTCTTTATTAACTGATTTATTGATTTTGAGATTGGGCCTTGCTTTGTAAATCAGGCTGACCAGGAACTTCATGCCCACACCTTAGCCTCCTGAGTGTTGGGATTGTAGGAATGTGTGACCACACCTTGTTAGGGTGAGGGCCATTCTGATGAGGTAAGGACCTGCCTTACACAACTATGCCTGAGAAGCAACTTAGGGAAGCCAGAAGATGTTCATAGAGTGTACAAAGAAAGATGTATGGAGACAGCTTTGTGGAAGAGACACAAGGTTCCCAGTGCCTATCACAGGTGTGAAATGGTATATTTACCTGGCTGAAGTTGAATGAATCTGGTCTCCAAGGATGCCAACTCATAGGAGAATGAATAAACCATACCACACCACACACATACACATACACACACACACACACACACACACACACACACAGAGAGAGAGAGAGGGGGGGGGGAAGGGGAGCACTAAAAAAAGAAGGGTTATAGAAATTTATCTATCATGCCTGAAGCCTTATGTTCTGTCCCTAAGACTGCAAACACACAATAATAACCCTGTGGGTGTAGCTTGGGAAGGCACTTGTCTAGCACACATTCCTACCTAAAACACTGGGGTTAGATTCACAGCACCAGAAGGGGGATAGGCATGGCATCATAGTGTAAGATTACTAAATTCAATTCATTAATTAAAGATTTTATGAAGCTTAGAAATTTATTAACAGGTCAGTGCTTACAAAGCCGCTGTTTGACCACTTGTTGAGACCGTAAGTGATCTAGTATAGCGCCCGTGCTACCATCTGTTCCACGAATCGGTCCAAAGCCTAGAGGTTGAAATAAAGAGACAAGACAGTGGGTCATTCATTCAATGGCAATGTCGGAATGCTGAATGCCGAATGCCATTTATTGAAGGGATGGAACGGGCTTAAATACTGATTTATAGCACAGTGAACAATTACAGGATTTTTAGGCTTAGCTCCTCTCCACGAGGTGTGTGTTGTCACGAGGTGTGTGTTATCAAAACGGGAAGAGTACCAACAACAGGTTTGGAGCAAGAAGTTCCAGGCAACAGCTTCAGCCTTGCTCAAGGTGCCTTGGGGGTCCATGCAGGGCCCTACAATCTAGCAACCGTGTTTCATCCTTCAAACCAAGTCTACATTTTCTCATTATTTAAACACACAGAGCTTCCTCTCCAGTGGTTCTGGGACCCTCCAATGGTCCTTTGGACTTTCCCATCGTCCTGGGAGAATAAAGCCTCAGAGCAAGATAAGCAAAGCTCAGGAGCTGCTGATTGTTTCCTGGTTTTGTTGTCATAGTGATCTTCTGACTAGATTGTCCCAAGCTTGCTTTTCTCTCCTTCAGACATTTCTCCTCTCCAGGGAGGGTTTGTACTGTGCTCAAGCCTCTGCTCACACTCTTGACTGGTCAGCTAATTAGCCAGGCTAGGTTATAAACAGACCCAGTCACTGGTGTGAATAGTTTTACTGCCACAGTCACAGCCACTCCTTGCTACATGTTGTTAGCAATGACTTTGAAAACAATCAACATGAGCTCTTGCTCCTGTTTTTATGTTCCTGAAACAAAATCCTTTCAGCAGAGGGCTAATGAGATGGCTCAGTGGGAAAAAGGTGCCCACTACTAAGCTTGATGACCTGAGTTCAATCCCTGGGCCCACATGGTAGAAGGAGATAATAGACTCTGAAGAGTTATCACCTGACATCCACATTTGTGACATCACATAAACACAAATGAGCGAATAAATATATGTATTGAATTTGAAGAAAAGCTCTACATCTGCTACTTCCCAGCACAAAATAGGAACACTACCATTTTTTTTCTTCCTTTTAGGAAAAACACACACTGGATAAAGGAATTATGTGCCACAGAAGTAACAGCTTTCAAAGCAAGTATTCCTCCTTGCTGAGGTTTTATTTTGTCTTTGGCACAGTTAAGGTGAAAGGAGCTAACTCACAGGGAACACATGCCTACTGATACAGACAGCGTGAGTCCTGGTGACTGACTCCAGCACCACTTTGCCTTAGTTTCTGTGTTGGAACTCTGCACACTGAGTCCATCAGTAGATGTTTGGGTCCTCAAAACCCTTTGGATGCTGTTAATTAGTGAAATTGCAGTTTGAACCCGACTAATCCAAAAATTCCCAAGTCCATAGTGATCCAAACTCTGGAATCTTTTGAGCATGGACTTGATAAAGCTCCTGGAAAATTCAATGCCATGATACTATCAAGTGCAGAATTACCCACAGTTTATGAAGTTACCTTTTAAGTTGCATATGTAATATGTAGTTATATAAATGCTACATCAATCCATGATTATATAGGAGCCCAACCCATAAAATCTTATCTATGTGCAAGTATTCCAAACTGTTAAGGAAGATTTACATTCTTAAACTCTGGGTACCAAACATTTTTGGATAATGGGTATTCACCTTGTTTCCCTTAGATTGGAAGGGCCACACTCTACCCAAATGTACAAATCCATTTTGGGGATCGTGTGGGATCTGCATACTAAAATTCAGGGCTGTATGATGTGTCCTCTTGGAACTGACAGAAGTGAACATGCTAGGCCTGAAAACTTAGTTTGAAGTGAGTCACCCAAGAGAGCAGTCCTAGTCCCTCATGCCCTCTCAGTGTCACAGAGATGCTTAGAGATCTGAGGATCTGACACTTGTCATTTATAAAGTGTCCTTAGGAACATGGGCTCTGTTTTCCCCTCCATGTTATCAATGCATCTGCCTCCTACTAGTGAGCTCTCTGCACAGCCGTGCCCTGACCTGAACAGAAGTTCAGGAGAGGAGTCTCTCTGGGGACAACCTCTCACAGGTGCTACAACAGAAGCTCTTGTCTTCTTGTTGACTCATCCTTGTTTAATCTTGATTTCCAAATCCAGAAATTCCCACAAGTCCTCCAACAAGTCCCACAACTGTAACAAGACCCACAACTACAAGTCCCACAACTATAAGACCCACAGCTACAACCAGACTCACAACTACAAGCAAACCAACAACAACAGGAAGACCCGCAACTACAGTGAAAGCCACAACAATGTCAACAAGACCCACACATGTACCAACATCATCCAGAGTCTCAGCCCTACCTCCCACACGAGCACACATACAGACTCACATACCAGGTAAAATCCAATGTCATCCAAGACTCAGAGTCCTTTTTTTTTTTTTTTTTAAGACAGGCTTTGGAGGCTGTCTTGTAGCTAGTCTTGAACTCACAGAGATCCACCTGCCTCTGCCTCCCAAGTGCTGGTGCTAAAGGCATGCACCACCACTCCCAGCTTCCCAGAGTCCTTCTTACCAGCGGCTGTAGGATACAAAGACACTGAGTCAAGTCAGAAGTATAACATGGGTGAAGAGTTCTTAGCTTGGCCCCAACAACAGCTTCACCAAATCTGTAATTTTCTAATCTTAAATTACATTCACCTCTGCTGTGTAAGAACTTGAAGGTGGAGGACACCATCTCTCTATTGAGATTCCCAGGGGATTCACTACTAGCCAGACTTAGGTGGCTCATTGGCTAGGAGAGCTGATGAGGATGGGGCATCTGAATTAGCATGATTTTCTGATGAAAAACTAAGGACTGACTAAGAACTAAGGTCAGGGTAGAGAGACCCATGACCCTTCGCATTATTCTGAAATTGATACATGCAGCTGAGGCCATAGGTCTGTGAAGCCAACACTTAGCATTTTCTGTACTCCAGGACGCATGTTCCATGCTTTATGATGCAAAGATTAATTTTCAGACAATTATGTCCTATAGAGCTGTGATCTTTCCCTATTTTGTAGTGACAGGAACTGAGAGTCAGAAAGTTCATGGTAGAGTTATGAAGACAGAGGGTGGCTCAGACTCTGTCCCTGTTCACTTGAGTTGGAAGCTGGTTCTTTTGACTCCAGGGTCAGAACTCCTGCTGTGAGCATGGATTTTGGGAGGGTTGCTATTGTTTCCACATCCTCACTGGAAAGGCATCATAATATCACCCTTCTAAAGAGATAGTGGATGCCTTGTGAAGTTTTGGGTTAAGGATCTTTCAATTTATTCATATAGCATGAAAAGTACAATATATGTACTTTGTAGGGATAACACACACACACACACACACACACACACACACACACACACACCGAATTTGAAGGCTTTAGAAAATAATTTAACATGTTCATTCTTGAGTGAGGCCATGTAGTTCATATTTCAAATTGCCTACAGGCAAACTTACTATTAATGGGTAGGTAGTACCTTGACTTACAGATGGGGAGAAGCATGTCATCCTGATGGCAAGTTTAGGTTCAAACCTTCTGCATCTAGGAGTGATGAGATAGCTATCAGAGGGGCTCTCAAAGCTTCCTAAAACTTGTCCATCTCTTGGGGTAGGGCTGGATTATGACGAGAGATAAAACCACAGAACTTGTTGTTGTTAGGGTAATCTGATGGGTGACATTTATCTCTCTGTCCTCTCATTGGCCTTCAAGTACTTTCAAGCAGGAGAACCCTCACATTGGCCTTCTGATACATTCACACAGAAGGACCCTGAAGGACTGGGCTACCCCCCCCCCCCCTCAAGTGTTCAGAGGCCTCTAGGTTATAATTAGTCGTGTGGAGCATAGGATTTGTGAGGACAACCACTTTGTTCGAGGCAACCGCACAAATGGAAGGACTGTTAGGGTTATTCAGGAATGACACAACTTTTCAATACTTAGTTTCAGGCTGCTTCGGGGGATGGGCTCATGGACTGAGTTTGGAGAACATGTATAGGTTAGGAACTTCACTGAAAACTGAGATTTAGAAGGGAAATGTTGCTTCATGAGTCCATATGACCTCTTGAGGGTGTGTTAATGTAATCTTATTTTTCTATTGTCATTTTCCTAAAGAATTGCAGTGGAGGGTTGAATATCCAGTCCAGGGAGAAGGCAAACACTCTGACTACTGTAAGATGAGGACATAGATCTTCACATCTGCTTCTCATTCTCACCCTCTTTGCCCCAGAGACTATTTATGGAATATGGGGCATGAGGTTGTAAGAACAGGGGAGAAAGTGACCCAGGATGGGGATACAAATAAACTCATGACAACTTTTATCAGGAACTGAATTGGATCACATGTGACCATGTGACATTTGTGTTGTCCTATTGTTAATTCAGAAGGATGGTCACATCCTCTCACATGTCTGAATACCAGGGTAAAACAGGACAGTAGTGTAGAACAGGAGGGTGTTGTTCAAATGTAAGGATTAGGTTGGAGTGAGGTAGGGGATCTAGAAAGACTCTGAGGGGCCATGAAGAACCCAGATTTAGGTATTTTCACCTGGCCATAACCAACCCACTCCAAGATCATCTGTTGTTCTGAAACAGAAGCATTCAGAGGACTCCCAGAGAGGCAAGTGCTCAGCTCTGCATGGGAAGTGAGATATTGGTGGGAGGAGCCTAGGGACTCCAGGAAGAAAAGGGAAATGCAGGCTGCACTGGAGTGTTCCACATGGAAACCTTTGGAGAGCAGTAGTAGATGAGTCAGGAAACACAGGAAATCCCTCTTAGTAAAGTAATGGAAGATGGAAGACCTTGTCTCAGTCAGTCACTCAGTCAGTCAATCAACCAATGATGAGAGAGAGGGAGGGAGAGAAAGAGGGGAGGAGAGGGGGGAGGGAGATAGAGAATTCCACAGCACAAGGCAGACTGCAGAGTAGGATCTGTCACCAGAGTGATACTGCTACCTTAAGAAGGACTCAGTGATGAACTAGTCCATCTAATCCATGTTGTTTGGTGAGCACATCTCCATGGAAAGAAGTGTGAACAATCTGGGGATTGAATAAGGCCTGCAGTGAAGAGGGTCGTGAGAAAAGTCCAGGCCCCTCTCCTAGTAGGTGTAATGACCCTTGTCTTGATAAATCATCTTATCTGAGTGTGTTCGATTCTCCATGTTTTAATATTGACTATGTTTCAGAGGAGTTCATGGGTATAAAATGGAAAGTATGAAGAGTATGAAGCAATTCTGAATAAAAATAAAGTTTTCCAGAATATTAGAATAGAGATGTCAATTGGTCAGGCAAGTGAAACAATGACACACAGTGCCCATCTTTGGTTACATTTTTCAGAAGAGTCAGCAGAAATTAGTAGGAAGGAGCCATTCCTGCTTTGTAGGCTGAGGTAGCTACTGAAGGGGGCGATACAATGTTTTATTTCTATTTTCCATGATGGGGGCCAAACTCCAAGTCTAATACAGTTCTTGCATTGTTGTCATTCCAGAACCCACTACAACTGACCCATATCAGACAGCAGCTGAGGTGACAGAAACCCCATCCTATACTTTTGCAGGTAACTATGTTCCCCTTCCTGACCCCATTGGATGGTCCAGACCTCGATAAAGCTGGTGTTGAAGAGCGCATGCCCTCTATAATAATACAGAGCTGACATTGTAATTGATGGCAGGGACAGAGGTTACATTTTCCTCCCCTCCCCCAGCATCCTTCAGAGGACCCTTTGCACAAGCTTCTTCATTTAAGCCAAACTAGGCCATGTGGCTTCTTTGAAGAAGATAATGTCAGGGACAGTCAATGTGATGGAGTGTTGAAAATGTATCAATATTTAAGTCAGGTCCCAAGGACAGGGGTCATTAGGAAGAGAGGTGCCTAGGAAAGGAATAGGATACTGGGGCACATATATGGACTTCTCCAGGAAGAGCACTTAGGTTTCTTTATGTTGAGTACACATGTGATGTTGGTGGCTCTCAAGTTGGATCTCTGGAGGTTTCTAAGAAGTGCCCCATCCTTCTTGGTGCTGTTGGTTTGGAAACAATGCTGCAAGATGTGGTTTACAACAAGCTTATATTTAAATATTTTTCTTCCACAAACAATGTTGTGATGTAGATTTCACAGGGATATTTATTTACATTCAGGAATAGGAGGGAAGTCTAGAACCAGAAGTGTCTACATCATTTGACCTTCAGTAAGTGTGACTTGTTGCTTGTGCCAACTAGGTTGGAGATGTCTGTGGGTGGCATAGATTGTCTCAGTAGGAAATCTGTCTTTATCAGTGTTTCTCCAAAGTTTCAATAGAATAAATAAGCAATTCAGCCACCCTCATGTCCATCCAATGAGACATTCTCTGCATCCTGCCTTGGGCTTCCCTTCTGTGGCTCATTGATTACTCTGATTTTTTTTTTTTACTGTTTCATCTGCTTGGCTAACACTTGTATGACTTATAGAAATATCCATTCTCTTGAATCTGTTCCATTATTCATTCAATGATCATAATGCCACTTGCTTTTTAAATGTAAAAATCAGTTTATTGTACTAAATTTTAAAGAATATTGTGGTTACAAAATATATGGGGGGCTTGAGTCATATTTGCAAAGGAGGTAAGTGATAGTTACAATGATATTTACATTATTATAATAGGGCCTGGAGGACTGGAAGCTGTAGGCAGATTTTTCTTTGGTCTGGTCTCAAAAAACAAAACAAAACAAAAAAACCAAAAAACCTGACATGGAAACTTATTATTAATTATGAAAGCTTGGCCTGAGCTTGGGTTTATTCCTAACTAGTTCTTATAACTTAAATTAACTCATACCTTTTAATATACTTTCTAAAATCACATGGCTTGGTTTCCTTTGCACTGTAGTCCCCATCCTGCTTCCTATAAGTTTGGCTGGCGATTCTGCCTTTTGTCTTCTCCAAGTCTTCTCTGTCCCAAGAAGTCTATCCTATCTGCTTTCTGCAGAGCTAATGGCCATTCGGCTTTTTATTAAACCAGACACATCTTCACACAGTGTAAAAGAATATTCCACAACTGGTAGCTGCTATGACTTGGGATCATATATGCCCATGTGACTCTTTTACTCACTCTGGTTGATCCCAGGCTCATCACTGGGCTTGGTTCTTTGGAACCTAACTCCCTGGTGTCCATACTAACCTTGTCACACTTATACTTCCATCAGAATAGCCAGGAGTCTCCTCTTCTGCCTTGTCAGTCTTAGGTTCCCATGGAAAATCTGAGGTTGCACTGTGCTCTGAATGCTTGTGTCCCCATCAATTGCTTTGTTAATGTTTAATCCTCAATGCAGTAGAGAAACCCTGAGTTCATCTGGAAGGTGATTTGCTTGTAAAAGTAAGACCTTTATAAAGAATGTTACAGCCTTTGTAAGATGACCCATGGGGCTGGTTTTCCCTTTCTTTCACTTGGGAACACACAAAAAGTATCATCTATGAACAAAAGGAGCCCTCAGCAGCTATCTGTCAGCTTGTGTCTGGATCTGGGATTTCCAAGCGGGTAGAACTATGACCAATGAATTTCTTTTGTTTATAATGTACTTACTCTAAGCAGTTTTGTTATAGCAGCCTAAAATAGTCTAACTAACATGGGTTGATAATACCAACAGCAGCACCAAAATAGTCTTGCAGCACTGAGACCCTAATTCTCACTCACTTGGAACACTCTCCTTAAAACTATAGTGACAAGGCAGGGTGGTGGTGGGGCACACGTTTGATCCTAGCATTTGGGAGGCAGGTGGATCGTAGTGAGTTCAACAGCCAGGACTGTTACAAAGAAAAACAAACAAGCAAATCCAAACAAACTATAGTGGCATGTCTTGCTTGATCAACTGTTGTGATGCTGAACTCTGCCATCTTTCTCAGCCAGTTCTATGCTATCAGTATATCAGCAGCAGTAAGTCAAGGCTGTTCCATGCTGAACTTTGTGATTCAGAGCTGCCTCACTTGTCCTTGAGGTACATCCAAACAAGGCTAGGCCTTGCTAACTCTCTTGCTTGACTCTCAGTGAATACCTGTGTGTGTGTGTGTGTGTGTGTGTGTGAGAGAGAGAGAGAGAGAGAGAGAGAGAGAGAGAGAGATTGAGAGATTGAGAGATTGAGAGAGAGACTCAATATTCTGAGGAGCTGCTTCTTTGTGTTCTCCTTGTCCCCATGTATCCTGCTTTACCTAAGCTGTCCTGGACACTAGTTAGTTTAAAGCCATATGCATTGAACCCATAGAGTCAGGAAGGATTAAGTAATGGTGACCTTTGGGTTTTGAAAGGGAAATCTTTAGTGTGAACTGTTTCCAGGCAGGAAAGCAAAATGAAAATAGATCCAAACACAAGGCACCAGGAACAGCTGTCTGCCACTGTTCCCAGGTGTGAAGAAAGAAGGATGATGGTGGTCACTCTGTAATGCTATGTAACCTAACCCTAGTCAGAGGAGAGCTTTGCAGAGTGGACAGGGACAGCAGCAGCTGTGTCCCTGGTGACCTTGAGACTTCTGGTATTTTGGCCTTGTAACTCAAAGTTCCTGGGCTGAGTCCGTACTGTGCTCATGGCAACCCTCCCTTGGTGAACATTTGCAAAAGCAAGAAATATTAGGAATGAAAGGGGTTTGGGTGTCACATGGGCCACCACCTGTTTTTGATAGCTGCCCCTGCCAAGAGTCTTACACACCATTCTGTTTTGTTATTTTTTGACAATTTATGCCATGCTAGATTGGAGAAACTCTTTAGTTCTTCTTTTAAAACACACACATTTTAATTTATCCCCAATTCTAGGTAGACTTCTTTTGACAAGTTGTGGACTGCTCCTCTTTAGATCAATGGTATGCCATTTCTAACATGAATTCCACAGTACCCTTCTGCTCCATGGTCCTGCCATCACATAAAAATAATCACATCTCAGTGTTTCCAACAGTGTCCGTGCCCATGTGTGCATTCCTCAGTGCTCATATCAGGACCTTGATGATGAGGTCATTTTGCTGATGAATATGATCAGCACTGAATTCAAGTTTTGTCTGATTCAGCTTCACCTTACTGAATCGCTTCCTCTTATTCCTGGAAGGCCTTGCTTAAGGGCCTATCACAAAGCTGAGATTGTAGGTGTTGCTTAAACCTAGTCATTGCCTTTGGCTCCTTGTAAGGGTTAGGGTTAGTCATTGTCTTTGTCTCCTTGTAAGGGCTCTCACGGTGAGTAAAATGTAAACACAGAGATATGAAAATGAATAGGGTAGGAGTTATTCAACTTTATTCATTTTGTGCAATGGCAGCTTTGGCAGTTGTTAGGGACTTCCAAGGACCTGTAGTATTTCCATTCATTGTGTGGGCCCTGTGTGTGCACTGCCAGCTGAGATGGCTGTCATTTGCTAAAATCAGAACCATGGAGTCATGTGATGTCTGCTGCTTCATCTGTGAAATGCAGTGAAGGGCTTCTTGTAAGGATGTCACAACCCTTACAAATGTCTGATATTAGTGGAAAGAGTTTTTGCGTTTCACAGACAGTAGACACAATGAAAACAATAGATTTCGTGTTATAAAATAGGCATTTCAAATATACTTTGAATATCTAAAAGTTGAAAGCTTGCTGCTCAGTAAATCTCCTGCTATATTAAATCCCACACTACATAGTATATGATACATTGACCTTGTATAATTTACATATGTGAAAAAGTCTAAATTCTTGCATTTATAATTAATTTTTCCTCTTGTTGAGCAGATTGGAATAACACTGTGACATCCTCGGACAACTCTTGGAATAATTACACTGTAAGCATATTCCTCCCCAATCTATTAGCCATGTTCAGTTGTATATCTTCTAGGAAACAATTTGTAGTTAAAGATGTCTGTAAAATTAGTTCACGGATATTTGTATCACAACAGAAGAAGAAGAAAAGAAATGAGTCAGATGAAGTAGTATCTCCTTATTCTTAGGACTCAGGAAATTAATTACTACAAAATATCATAAATTGAGGCCAGCCTAGACCATTAGGCAATGTGGGCTATGTAGTGACACCCTCTCTCAAAAATTGTAGATAAATAAATTAATAAATACATAAACATAAATAAAGAGTTTGACACTTACAAAGGGTGTTTGAATTCAAAATGTTCATTTGGGGTGCCCTAAGATTGTTTTTCTACCCATTAACCATTCTCTGTAGAGTCAACTGGTGGTACTTTTTTTCCACACACAAACCTCTACAGAAGGTATTGAGGTCTTGGACATCTTAATTTTGCAAGATTTTTCCTACAGTTTCCATATACTAAGCTTGAGAACAATCTAGGGCACTCTGCTTCCACGATTCTTGCCAGAGTTCTATCTCTACCAATAGCAGAAGTGAGTTTATCAATTGGAGTTTTCTCTTTTGGTTCCAGGAAGGAACAAGGTTTGTTTTAGTATGTGTATTTAGCATGACAGAAATTGTGGTTGAGGTGAGAAAAAAGCTAGATAGGGGGTTGTGAGGATTATTTGACTGTTAGAAGCAGCAGAGCCCTTGTTAGCATGTGCAAGGCCCCAAGTTTGACTACCAAAAATCACCATCCACCAACCACCCTCAAAACTAGGTGGAGATGTCTATATAGGGCTTTGACAGTCAGAACATAATACATGGGGCTGAGTGTCAGTTTCTTTTGCTTGTTTTTTGAGAAGGGTCTCATGTAGTCCAGCTCTCCTTGAACTTACTGAAAAGCTGAGGATAACCATGAACTCATGACCTATTGTCTCTGTCTTTCAAGAATTCAAATAACAGGAGTGAATCCCACCATAACTCCCTCTACTTCTTTGAGATATAATTTCATTTCACACCTCTGGCTGGCCTAGAACTCATAATCTTCCTGCTTCAGCCTACTGAATACTGGGAATACAAGCCTATGTCATGCGCCCAGCTTACACTAAATATGTAATGGCCTAGCAGACATTAGTCCTCAGTGCTTTGGCAGTTTTGGAAATAGTTAAATATCAGACACCATTAAGTACATGTTGCTAAGGAGCAGACTTCTGGTTCCATATAAAACCAAACTGCACTGCATATGGAGGTTGTTCTTGCCCTCAGTTACCTGAGAAACTGTCATACTTAGCACCATGAAGGAATAACTCGTGCTTCAAAACAAGTTGTAGGAGCATCTGTACTCTTAAGATGTCAAGCTGTGTTTATGCATTGAAAGCAATGCACAGAGCACACTGTTTGTTTTCAGGGCATTTGTTTGTTTGTATGTTTGTTTGAGACATAATCCCTTGGAGCTCAGGCTGGCTTTGACATTGCTATGCACCCAGGAAAGATCCAAAGTTCCTGACCCTCCTCCTTCCACCTCTCAGGTCCTGGGATTAAGGTGTTCACCCCTAGGCCTATCAATAGCAGCATGCATATTAATTGAACCAGGAGATCAACTTCCTGGATTATGTTTCATGAATAAAAAAGTTGGATAAAATTTGTGAAGATGGATGAGAAAGGATAAGCATTGCTGTCGTTCATAATCAGGAAGATGTTCTGATGTAAATGTCCATGTGGGTACAGTGGACACACATGGTGTCCAAGAACTCAGGAGGTTTGGGAAGGAGGATCAAAGGTTCAAGGTCATTGTCAATTAGTGAGCTCCAGGTCCCCTAGGATATAGGGGACCCCATGAGAATAACAAAAAACAAACAAACAAACCTTATTTCTCTCCTATATTCTTCACAGTGTTTGTCAAGAATACCTGAGAATCTCTTTCCCAAGAACCCACTGAACACATTGTTTGAGGATTTATACTCAGGGCTCACAGAGCTTAACTAACTTGTTCATGATCTCTCTGACTAAGCAGACAAGCCAGGATTGTGACTCTAGAGACGACGCTTATACATAGGCAAAGACCTGGTGTCTGGTCCATTCTTTCCTTGCAGTTAGCCCATCTACGGGCTCTGTTTGGGGTTAGTAGATTAGTGCTAAGCTATTAGAGGGGGCCTCACCTGCTGCCCTGCCTCCTGCGTATTCCAGTATGTGCTGGTCCCTGATCACCTGCACCAGGGCACTAGGGGAGATTCTACATTTCTGTCTGACCATGTTGTGTTAATCAGGCTGCATCCAGGAGCAGTCTTCTTACTACTTTTAGGAAGTTATTAGAAATAATTATATTGTTTTCTTTTTTCTCAACCTCCTCCAAATCCTTCGACACTCACCTTGTTTTCTGTCTAATTCATAGTCTCTGTTATTTTAATTGTTAATAAATGCATAATATATTAACATATATAATCTATAAAATATTAATATATACATATATTTATTAATACACACATGGAAACTGTTTATGAATATTATATATTGCATATATTTATATTTAATACATGCATGTATCCTAAAATGTTAATATAACCTGCCCAGGTGTGTGTATATGTTTCCAAGCTGACCATTTGGTATTAGGTGTTTATAAAGACAAATTTACAAGACAAGTAGGATCTGTGATGAAGGACCAGACCAGGAACTGAGCACACTGAGAACAAGTTAACTTAGAGATGAGCTATTATTTTCTCCTTTAATAACCTAAGACAATGCATTTGGAGAATACCCTACAGATGATTAAAGCAGACATATCCACATACACTATGTAATAACCTACATTAAGTATGTGGTTAGAATTTTGACTGAGGTATCTACTCATGCAATCACCTCGCTCAACATAGAACATGATTCTATCATCGTCAAAGACCCTGATTTCACATTGTCTTGGAGTTCCACTGCCTTTACCACCTCATATCCTTGGGTCTTCATTCATATTCCTGACTAGTCATAGGCCAGCAAGATGAAGCTCTAGGATATAGAGTATAGGTTAAGGTCAAGCATGTGTTTTCTGTTCTTCTCACTTGGTGCCCCTTGTGTTTGCTGCTGTTTATTTATTGCTACTGTTGTCTTATTAATTGTTTCCTTAGGAATCCATCCCTTCATGGAAGCAGCAGAAAAACATGACTAAGGGCTTCTATATTGGCATCTCCATTGCTGCCCTGATGCTGCTGCTGTTGCTTGTGTGCACCGTTGCTGTCACCAGTAAGTAATTTCACCACTGTCCCAACCAAAGAAATCCAGGGTTGTCTGACTGCCATTAAGCAAGTGCACATGCCATAGGGGCTTTGAGTTCACATGGCTTCCCTATATCCAGATCCAAGACAGACATGGTAACCCTTCTACTCTCCAAGGTATGTGTTAGGACCCACAAAACTTTCTGGGTGATTTCTGGTACTTGGTGAGTGCTCGGCTCAGTGATTTTGAATCATGGCTGCTATGTCTCCAAAGATTCCTAATCTGTGAAACTTGACCTTATGTAGTTCCTACTGGTACTGACCTTACTAGGTAGCTGAGGATGAACTTCCTCAGAATCTTCCTGCCTCTGGCACCCAAGTGCTGGGCTCGCAGGAATATGCTGCAATGCTTGGCAACACTGGTTTCCTAACCCTGTTCTTTATCTTTCAGCTGTTGCCATCAAAAGGGAAACTATTTTCCATAAAATTTTAATACTATGACACAAGAGATTTTGCATAGGCTTGACATTTTTGGTCACTATAAGACTTTTGATGTGTTCTCTCCTTTTCTACCCTTGGGGTTTTGCATGTTTTACATAATCATACTATGGAATGTTCTGGAATGTATTTAGTAAAAGATGCAAATGAGACATTGGTGGGAAGCCCCCTGAGTAAGGCTGGGACAGACTATTTAAAGGTGACACCTAGGCTACATGGCCCTTTCTGTGAACTGTACAGCTATACAGTGTTAGCCATGGACTTTATAAAGCACATTACTTACCTGTTTTACAGGATATGGGGAATAAGAATATGCCTGACAGATTTCAGAAGCTCCCTCTTATTACTTAAAAGATATTAATGGAAAAAGATTATTTAAGATCCCTCTACTGGCATGTGCTTATAATATCAGAGTTCTACCAGTCTGTGGCTAGTCTGGACTATATATCAGATCACGTCCAAAAGAAAGAATTACTTAGAAATTCAGTATAATTCCACAAATGAATTCCCTTCCTTAGTTTAAAAGTATTTATTCTTCCCTCACGGGCTTGTTCTCTAATAGCCCATTAGAAAAAAACCTAGACTTTTTGTTTGTCTCAGTGAACAATAATTTACTAATGCCACTCTAGCAAATTTGGCCATGTAGATGGATATAGCAGACAAGGACTGGGAAGAAGCACCTTCCTGCAGGGTACAGGAAGGAATTACCCAAAGTTACTGGGGGATGGTTCCATCATAAACAGAAGCAATAGCCTTGCTTAGGAGAAAATATCATAAGCATTTCAGATGACATGTTCAATTTTCCTTTCAATTGTTCCTACCTCTTTCCACCCCCATTTAGGGTATATCCTTAAGAAAAAGAAGACGGGGTCTCTAAGGTAAGCTGCATGGATTGTGTTGATTCTTTTTGAATTAACAATCTTGAGGCTCTTTCTCTATGTTCTCTTGTCTCTAAATCATTTTTTGATAGTTGACTCATTGGTTGGTTGGTTTGAGGCAGGATTCATTATATGATGCAGACTGGCCTGGAACCTGCTATGTAGCTTAGGCCAGGCTGAACTCAGAATCCTCCTGCCTCTGTCTCCCTCGGTGCTGAGTTACAGGCATGCAGGAAATGTTCCACCCGTTACCTAGGGTGGCATCTGAACTCTGGTTCTCCTGTACAATGAGCACGCTTAATTGCTGATCAACTCTTCAGTCCCCAAAATTACTTTTTAATCCTTTAATTTAAAAGAAAATAGTAGAGAAAACACACACACAAGGAAGAAGGGAGAAGTTGGGTGAGATGGCACACACCTATTATCTCAACACATAATCAGTTAATGCAGGAATACTGTGTGTGTGTGTGTGTGTGTTTGTGTGTGTGTGTTTTAAGTCCAGCCCAGACTTCAACATTCTGTCTAAAATTAAGTAAATGACACCAGGTATGGTTGCAAACACCTTTCATTCTAACCCAAAAGGCAGAGACAGGTGGGCTTCTTTGAGGTCTATGTAAGAAGTGACAAGATAGCCAGAGAAACATAGTGACAAAACCAAATGGATGAATGAATGAAGGAATGAATGAATGAAAGACATGAAACCAAACTAATCACTCCATAACACATCTGGCATTCTCTCCTGACTTTTTCTGCATTTATGTCACTCTGATTGATGAGTGTCCTGACCCTACACTGTTTCCTTACATGTGTGACTGTCCTGGGCAGAGTGTAATTCTCAGCATAGGTGTTCATTGTGGTTGACTGGAGAGGCTCATTTTGGTTCTGCATTTCAGTGTAGAAATGGCCACAAATGACAAAACTCCACTATGTCAAAACATCACCCCCGAGTTAGTCTGTTTTCTTCTCTGACTTGTTCCTTCATGAGTTCTAGAAGCTCAAAGATGAGTCCATTGTGCCCACCCTGATTAACATGGGCATGGAATGAACTCCCCAAGGGAAGCCCCTCCCATCCCCTCAACCTTTTGGTCCAGTGTCCGATGCTTGTGTCATGTGTCTGTAACCATGAGTCATACAGTAGTCTTTGAAATTGTGCCACAGACCTCAGCTACAGTGAAATGTCACCACTTTGTTACATGTTTTTCTATTGCATGCTTGATGTTAGAGATATGCAGGTTTCAAAACTCATTCCTTTTCTTTTTTTTTGTATGTTTGTTTGTTTATTTATTTATTTTATATAACCAAGTCCATTTAAATGAAAACAAACATTTACAGACAATATTTGGGAATTTGGGCGTCGTTCTTTTCAAACTACTTCCTGCTGGTAAGGGGTGCTGTCATGGGGGATTCTAAGAAGATGCAGAAATCATGGCTGTAGTCTGTAAGGCTGCTTTGTCCAGCTGTTTTGAATGTAGGATCACCTGGTACTCTGTTTCAGGCGGTCTGGCTTGATCAAACCACATTAGTCTGGAAGGAATCCACATCTTTTCATTTTCCGTGGAAACAAAAATAGAAATCCTTTTTCCCAGTAACTTGTCCTTCAACTTAAATTTTGGAGTCAAAGCATTTTTTTTTAATTTAATTTATTATTTTACATGTCGATCCCAGTTCCCTCTCCCTCCCTCCCTCCTTCCCTTCTCTTTTTACCCTCTCTGCCCTCTCACATGCACCCTAACCACCCTCCCATCCCCCACCCCAATTCCATATGTAGGGGAATGCCATCCAGTTGGGGTCATGTAGATGTGACAGGTCATGTGAAGTAGGGACTAGGTCTTCTTTCCAGTCTCTAGGTTAAGGCAGTTATCCCTCCATGAGGGATGTGTTCGTAAGGTCCTTTTGTGCACCAGGGATACATCCTGGCTCCACTCTCTGAGGTCCCTTAGACTGTCCAGTCCTTCTGGCTGAGACCCATATTCAGGGGGGCCTGAGTCAGTCCCATGCTGGCTTCCCAGCTATCAGTCTGGTGGCCCGTTAGTTCCTCCTTGTTCAGGTAAGCTGTCTGTATGTGTTTCTGCTGCCTGGTCTTGTCCTCTCCATCTGCATCTGGGTTCTACTTTGACTCAGTGTTTATGTATGGGTGTTTGATCCTGTTTCCAACAGGCATTAGTTGAGGGCCCCATGGATAAGTTATTTGTTGATCTCACTATTCGGGAAGGGCATTTATGGTAGCCTTTCCACGGAAGCTCAAATTGTTAGTTGGGAGCAGTCTTGTAGTCCTAGACCTTTATTTGTGTTCAATTTCATCTTCAAACAAATATTGGCTCTCTCTCTTATGTTCTCTTTCTCTCTCTCTCTCTCTTTCTTTCCTGTCTTCTATTCTTAACCAGGCTCAATCTTCCTGGTCGCAATTGTTTTCCTTTCCTCCCCCTCATTTTCTCCTACTTCTCTCTCCATTCATTGCCCCCCCACTTCACCTGAGCTCTGGTGGACTTGTCCCTTCCCAGTTCTGTGAGGGACTTTATATGAATCTCTTAGAATACACCTTGTATCCTAGTTCCTCTGGTGGTGTGAATTATAGGCTGGTGATCCTTTGCTCTAGGTCTAAAATCCATATATGAGTGAGTACATACTGTGTTCCTCTTTTTGTGACTGGATTACCTCATTCAGGATGGTTTCTTCAAGTGCCATCCACTTGCCTGCGAATTTCAAGATTAGTTTTTTTCTGCAGAATAGTATTCCATTGTGTAGATGTGCCACATCTTCATTAACCATTCTTCAACTGAGGGGCATCTAGGTTGCTTCCAGGTTCTTGCTATTACAAATAGTGCTGCTATGAACATAGTTGAACAGATGTCTTTGTTGCATGGATGTGAATCCTTTGGGTATATGCCTAAGAGGGGGATTGCCGGGTCCTGTGGTAAACTAATTCCCATTTTCCTAAGGAACCACCATACTGATCTCCAAAATGGCTGTATGAGTTTGCACTCCCACCAGCAGTGGAGGAGTGTTCCCCTTTCTCCACATCCTCTCCAACATGAGTCATCATTGGTGTTTCTAATTTTAGCCATTCTGGCAGGAGTAAGATGGTATCTCAAAGTTGTTTTGATTTGCATTTCCCTGGTAGCTAAGGATGTTGAGCACTTTCTTAAGTGTCTTTCAGCCTTTTTGATTTCCTCTATTGAGAATTCTTTCTTCACTTTTGTACCCCATTTTTAAATAGGGTTATTTGGTGTTTTGTTGACTAGTTTCTTGAGTTCTTTGTATATTTTGGAGATCAGCCCTTTGCCAGATGTAGGATTGGTGAAAATCTTTTTCCAGTCTGTGGGCTGCCATTTGGTCTTGTCCACTGTGTCCTTTGCCTTACAGGAGATTCTAAGTTTGAAGAGGTCCCATTTATTAATTGTTTTTCTCAGTTTCTTTGCCCCTGGAGTTATGTTCAGGAAGCAGTCTCCTATACCAATTTGCTCAAGGGTACCTCCTACTTTCTCTTCTAAGAGGTTCAATGTGGCTGGATTGATGTTGAGGTCTTTGATCCATTTGGACTTGAGTTTTGTGCATGGCGACAGACATGGGTCTATATGCAGTCTTCTACACACTATCATCCAATTGTGCCAGTACCATTTGTTGAAGATGCTGTCTTCGTCCCATTGTATAATTTTAGCTGTTTTGTCAAAAATCAGGTGTTCATAGGTGTGTGGGTTAATATCAGGATTTTCTATTCGATTCCATTGGTCTACCTGTCTATTTTTATGCCAATACCAGGCTGTTTTCAGAGCTATAGCTCTGTAGTAGAGCTTAAAGTCAGGGATGGTGGTGATGCCTCCTGAAGTTCTTTTATTGTATAGGGTTGTTTTGACTATCCTGGGTCTTTTGTTTTTCCATATAAAGTTGATTATTATCCTTTCGAGGTCAGTGAAGAATTGTGGTGGGGGTTTAATAGGGATTGCATTGAATCTGTAGATTGCTTTTGGCAAGATTGCCATTTTTACTATGTTTATCCTACCTATCCAAGAGCATGGGAGATCTTTCCATTTTCTGGTATCTCCTTTAATTTCTTTCTTTAGAGCCACAAAGTTCTTATTATATAGGTCTCTTACTTGTTTGGTAAACGTTTCACCAAGATACTTTATGTTGCTTGTGGCTATTGTAAAGGGTGATGTTTCTCTGATTTCTTTCTCTGTCTCTTTGTCATCTGAAAAAAGTAGGGCTACTGATTTTTTGAGTTTATCTTGTATCCTACTAGTTTGCTGAAGGTGTTTATCAGCTGTAGAGTTCCCTGGTAGAGTTTATTGGGTCGCTTATGTAAACTATCATATCATCTGCAAATAGAGACAGTTTGACTTCTTCCTTTCCAATTTTGATGCCCTTGATCTACTTTTGTTGTCTTATAGCATTAGCTAGAACTTCTAGTACGATATTGAAGAGATATGGGGAGAGAGAGGGCAGCCTTGTCTTGTTCTTGATTTTAGAGGAATTGGCTTAAGTTTCTCTCCATTCAGTTTGATGTTGGCAGTTGGTTTGCTGCATATTGGTCTTATTATGTTTAGATATGTTCCTGTTACCCCTGACCTCTCCAAGACCTTTATCATGAAAGGGTGTTGAATTTTGTTGAAGGCTTTTTCAGCATCTAGGGAGATAATCATATGGTTTTTCTTTTTCAGTTTGTTTATATGGTGGATCATGTTGATAGATTTTCGTATGTTAAACCATCCCTGCATTCCAGGGATGAAGCCTACTTGGTCATGGTGGATGATTTCTCTGATTTATTCTTAAATTCAGTTTTCCAGTATTTTATTGAGTATTTTTGCATCGATGTTCATCAGGGATATTGGTCTGTAGTTTTCTTTCTTGGATGTGTCTTTGTGAGGCTTGGGTACCAAGATTTTTGTGGCCTCATATAAAGAGTTTGGCAATGAACCTTTTGTTTCTATTTTGTGGAATAGTTTGAGGAGTAGTGGTATTAGTTCTTCCTTGAATGTCTGGTAGAATTCTGCACTGAATCCAACTGGCCCTGGACTTCTTTTCATTGGAAGGTTTTCGATGGCTGCTTCTATTTCATTGCGGGATAACTTATCACTTACCAAGATTAAAACTCATTCTTTTTCAATGAAGAAAAGTTTATATTATTGTATGCGTGTCTCTCTGTGTGTGTGTATGTGTGTGTGTGTTTGTGTGTGTGTAACACGGCACCTGTGGAGGTCAGAGGACAACATTTTGGAGCTGGCTCTTTCCTTCTGCCTTTTCCATGAGCTGCAGGGATCTCATTCAGGTGGCCAGGCACTCATAACTCTTTCCATAGTGTCACAGTGCAAAATAAATACACGAGTCATCCAGTTCCTAGCCCACTCCCAAAATGCACATCCTGATTAGGTATCTCTGTTTGGAGCCTAGATATCTTTCTGTGTAGATCTCCTACTTTTGTGTTTTATTACATAAGTATCTTGAAGGTATCCAATAGGAGCTTCTTTAAAAAAATGCCCACACATTTTTTTTTTTTTGGTTAGTCTAATGCCTATTAGATAACTTTTTTATGACCTAATAGCATTGGAGGGCTCTGTGTGGTGTTGTTTACTGTTATTGTTTTTGTGAATGGGGCTCGTGGAATCCTGAGCATATATCAGGAATAAAAGTTCTACTCAGACCTGAAAGGGAACCTCATGCTCAACATCTGTCTCTATCTCTGCAGCTTGGTAGCATTCCGTGTCTCTAAGTGTGGAGCTTTGGAAAACATAGCAGGTGTGCAGTCCCGAGCTGAAGACAATGTCTACATAATTGAAGACAGTCCTTACCCTACAGAATGAGTCTCAGTGGCCTTCTGAGGGACCTTCTGCATGAGACTGGAAAGACCACAACCGAATTTGACACCACAAACATCCTATATAGCCCCAGGACTATTTTCTTCCAGCAGTGGTGGAGAGGGTGACCCTCAGCTGTTTATATTCAAACTCACTGTTCACATCATCCATTTCTTTTTATTATTTTTTTTTAATGAGAGATTTTCTCTATGTAACAGCCATAACTGTCTTGGAACTTGCTGGGAGATGTTCTGTAAATATGTTTCTTGTATTGGTTAATTAATAAAGCACTGTTGGCCAATAGGAAAGCAAGATAGGCGGGACTAGGAAGCAAGGAGGATCAGAGGAAGTAGTAGGGAGGAGTCAACATGTAGAGACTTGGGAGAACAGAGGTCCAGGTCCTCTCTCCGGTAAGATGAGACCACGTGGAAATACTTAGATTAATATAAATGCGTTAATATTTAAGACAGAGCTAGCCAATAAGAAACTAGTAACTGGCCAACAGCATTATATTTAATACAGTGTCTCTGTGTGTTATTTGGGGCTAGCACGGCTGTGGGACCAGGCTGCAGGGAAAACATATTCATAACAGGAACTAACTCTGTATACCAGGCTGGCCTCGAACTCACAGAGATCAGCCTGCCTCTGCCTCCTGTGTGCTGGGATTAAAGGCATGCACCACCAACGCCTGGCTCCTAATTCTTTTTCACCACTGATTCAGTCTCTCTACTCACTGAAGCTCATTCTTTCAAACATGAACATTTTAGAATGCTGTGTGTCCTTTAGTCAACATAGTCATTGTTAATACAGGAAACAGACTCCTGTGTTGTATATTAAGAGAGGAACAGGATTGAAAAGTTAAAAAAAAAAAAAAAGAGGATGGGTGGGCAGGGCATCCTGAATTTAGAAATATTTCACGATCATATTTTATGTATTTTATTGTAATTTGAAAGGTCACTATGCCTCCCCTTCCCAGGGGGCACAATCATGGAAACATGTAGGTGTAATTGTCCTAATAGATAAATAGAAAGGAGTCCAATGTCACCATTTAGAGTTGGTTATGCTTTCTCATAGCTCTGGAAGTATGATACGATATCATGTAGTTGATCGTAGGGTAAGGATGGGTGTTTCATGTCAAGAGAGGTTTCCCTGGTGAGTATGGCCCAGGCAGGCATTAGAGGAAGAAAATAGTGGATCAAGGGATTGAGTTCATTATCGCTATTTCCACTGCAGTCTGACTTGATGCTCAGTGTCCCTACACTTACCTGCTGGGCTCTGAATTAGGTGCTAGAAGGAGACAATGCAGAAATGAAGGGGAAAGAGGGATCAGGACACAGGCTCTGCCTGAGAAAAGTCATATTCCAGGTGTGACAGAACTTGGGATGATCCCTGGTTCATTCAAAGTTATAAATGTATAATTGTCTTCAGACCATATTTATATTTAAATTTATTTCAGGACAAAGCATTTTTCATAGTGTATCAGTTTTCCACAATAAGTGAAATATTGGTTTTGCTAAGAGTTAATGAAGGGTATTGTGCTGGTATATTCATTGTCAGCCTGGTTGTTGAGAAGAATAGAATTGCAAGATGGTAATAATTTCCATTTCAGTTTGAGTAAAGCCTGACTCCAGTTAGAGGCCCTCAGTCCATAGGAGAGTGGGATGGTGGATCTCAGTTCACATTCCCTGCTGTTGTACATAGTTCTAAGAAACAAGTATGTGTCTGATTGGGGGTTTCTTGGTGAAATCAGATATTAGGAAGTTGCATTCTGGGTTTGCTAAATGGGGTTTCCCTTTTATGCTCTAAAAATGATTGTGTTTAAATTACCATTTTTTCATTCTTTTCTTTTTGGCTTTGATATACAGTGTTGTTTCTTAATTTCTTATTTTTCTTCTTCTTAAATTTGAGGAAACTACATATCAAAACAGGCCTTTAGCAATGATCCCGTGATTTGTAGCTTTTCTAGAAATATTTGTCAAGATAGTTCTATAGTGGTCGGGCCACCAGAGGGCGCCATCCACTACCTCTCTTTTGCCTCCTGCCTCCTTCCTGATTCCTGCCTGATAACTGCAGGGCCTGAGTGCTCTGTCTTTGTAGAGATGTGTGATAGACATGAAGGGGTCTGGAAATCTGTCTGGCTGTCCTATGTAGTATTTCCAAATCTTGCTTGATCTTAAGAACATGGTGACTAGTGACATTCTGTGAAAGTATGTGGGATTCAGGGGAAAACAGGTCATATAAAAAGCTCCATTACTAGGTGTAAATAGTCACAATAGGGTAACCTCTATGTCTGTTTCCCCCGTGTGTTTGCTGTTATCATGTCCACACTTACCTTGGTGGACAGTGGTCATCGCAATGAGGGGTGGCAGGTGAAAAGTCTTTGAGCAGTGGAAACATTCCAGAATGCACATCCCCACCCTAGCAGATGTTGTAGTTATAGGAGATGTTGAGTTGGAGCCGAGTCAATGATTTTTGTATTATTACAACCAGGAATCTATTTTGTATGTGTCTGATACATCTTTAAAATAATCTTGTTTCCTTTTGATATAGTTGGTGTTTGTGTTTTTGTTATACAATAGAAAAAAATCAGCAATTGAAAGGATTTATAGATCCAAGATGAATTTTGTTACTATTTCCACAGTTAAATCAATCTTGTTGATTTTGTTGAATTTTCTTTTAGTCTTGAACCTGCTGTGTAATAGTTCATTACAATAATTAACAACTATACTTTATTATTTTTAGAATAGGGTCTCACTGTGTAGCTCCAGCTTGGCTGGAATCCCCTGTGTAGACAATGCTGGCCTCAATGTCTCAGAGACCCTTTTGCCTCTGCATCCCAAAAGGTGGGATTCAAGATGTACGGCATCTTCATGTTCATCTTGACTATACATTTAAACTTATGAAACTTCACACATCTTATGAAGCAACAGAACCAGTCCTTCTCTGAGAGCTGTGTCATAATTTTGAGGGTAATGGGGATCTGATATAAGTTGTTGTCTGACTTAAGCTGTGTTTACTTTCACTAATAAAAATGATTGTTTCCTCACTTTGAAAGCTGGCTTGCCATTTTTTTCCAAGCTCACCAGTTCATTTAGCCCAGACATATTCACCTTATTATGTGTAGGCTCATAGGACATTGGAAATTCAGTTAAAATTTATCACAATGTAAGGAGGTGCTAAGTGCACCTCTCAGGGTTGGGGCTAGGGTCCAATTCTGAAGTCTAGTTTTTGAGAAGCTGTAGAATACGAGGGAGTGGATGTAAAAGGCCATCAATTCAAGTCCATTAATCTTTGATTCATTCCAAGGAGAGGACAGCACTTGGCTTCCCAATCATAACATTTGGGACTAGGAAATGGACATGAGGGATGGCCAGAGACCTTAGCAGAGTCCAGTCTCCCTACTGTGAAACAGTCATGCCCTGTAGTTGTGGCTGCTAGAATTGTCTGCTGAGTGACAGTGCCACATAGAATCTTTATATCAGAGGAAACAGCTTTAGCGCATTCTCAGGGACTGTCCCTAGGTCAGAGGGTTATTAGAGATGAAACCAAGGCACGTGTAGCCAACCTAATGTCTCCTGAAAGGAATCTACCAAATACAGAGGCCCCTAGTCTGGAAAAAGCTGGAGTATTCAGAGAGGAAGCTGTGTCCTCAGGACTTATATTTCTGTATGTCTGCCATCAAGGGAGGGAAAAGGATGGGTAGGAGTGAGCCTGGAGTGGTGGGCAGAGAGTCTCACAGGGGTAGATGAGGGAACTAGGAGCACATCTGTTTGAGAGGAATCCCCCTCTCAGTAAACAAAGCACTTTAATATATTGAAGACTAATATCTGCTCCCTAGAACACATTGTGTTAGAATACCAGAATTTGCTTCCGCAGCATGTTTCTAAGGTAGCTAACTTGGTTTGGGCAATGGGGCAGCAGGGGAAAATCAGTTGTTTACATAGCATCTTGCTTTAGAGATTATACTAGGTTTTCAGAATGGAAGGGAGAGGAAAAGGTAATCTATAAACTGTGTGATCATCTGAGCCTAAGAAGGAGCCAGAGGAACAGATATGAGATAGGAAATTTGTCCCACTTACTTTGTGTCGAGCAGGAGCTGAGACCAAACTTTCAGTTCTAAGGAAGTGATGATATTAGGGTTGTGATGCTCTATAACTTGGTTTTAAAAGTGGTATTGCATTAGCCAGCACTTGGGAGGCAGAGGCAGGAGGATCTCTGTGAGTTTGAAGCCAGCCTTATCTACAGAGCTAGTTCTAGGACAGGTTCCAAAACAATACAGAGAAACCCTGTCTCAAACAACAACAACAACAACAATAATAATGAAAAGAATAAAAGTGATATATTTTAATCTTTCCTTGTGTTTATATTTATGGTTCTCTTTTATACACCCATCTTTGCTTTTGTGATTACCTGGAGGAGAGTGTAGAAGTTTGGGGACATGTCAAGGGCTCATCAAGCCTGTAGTATGCAACTACAGTCACCTAGAGAACTGAAAACTGCCCACCAACCAACACATGGGATCTTGGATGTCAGTGGCTGGAGTTCTGAGTGTTTCAATTTAGATGATTTATGTGTGCAGCTTGGACTAAAATCCACTGATCCAGTGAGCCTGGGAGCACGAGGACTGAGGATGGAGTGCTTTCATGATGTCTCAATTAAGTCCTGCAGGGGAACATAAAATGCACAACATGAAACAGGACAGTATCAACAACGGGTGAGGACATGTGTACAACCAAGTAGGGGAAAGGGCATGAAGCCCATGGCAGCAGACCTGTTCTGTGTCTGGATTCCAGGAGGCAGTACTGGGAATGTCTGAGTGCTCCCATGCCATTCTGGTTCTCCTCAGAAAGCTGGGGTACAGCTGTTAGTTGACTCTGTCTCTGGGCCTTCAAAAGATTCAATGTTTCCCCACAAAAATAATCTTTTAAAAAAGGCAAGAAAGAAAACCCCTACTGTATTGTGGGGAAATGCTCGAAGGTGACCTGTATGCTATACCGCAGAATGCTGAGATGGATCGGCTGGCTTCACCAGTTTCTGCACCTGCAGGAGTCTAAAAATACTTTGATGATGACCCAGTCATTTTTCAGAACAGATTTTGC